ACCTTCAGAAAGCCTGGAGGTGTTAGCTTGGCTGCACCTTTGCTGGGTGCATGGTATAGGTTCCCCCAACCCAAAGCCCAAAACCGTAGCAACGAGACCAAAACTCTGATCTTTGAAGAAGGGGGGAAGGAAGTCGGTTTGGGCGTTTAGGGTTGTGGGTTTAGGGTTTAGGGTTTGGGGTTTAGGGTTGAGGGTTCCTGTCACGGGCTTTTTTGTCGCAGTTTCTGCGGCAGGTCCGTGATGAGGACGGCGAGATCCTGCTGCTGGTCCGAGTGTTCTTCCGGGGGTTTAAGGTTTAGGGTTTAGGCTTTAGGGTTTAGGGTTTAGGGTTTAGGGACAGTTCCCTTACCGCTACAAAGCCTGAAGTAGGGAAGGCATCCTCCTCAAACAGTTCTGAGTGCTTGTCTCGGCATATAGAAACAGACTTACTGGCTCAAAACCCAACTTTTAAACTTTCGGGCTTCTTATAAGGTAGTTTATTCTGAAGTTTCAACTGTTATTTCCTTGGGTTTTGGGCCAGTAAGAACACTGGGTGTAGCGGCTAGTTGTTTAAACTAAGTTTAAACTTGTTTCATTGCGATGAGGACGCTCGGAATGCCTTCTCAATGGGTTCAAATTCACCAAAGCACCCATAACGGTACTATTGCTATAATTATACGCCACCCCCCCCCCCCCCCCCCTTTGACCTTGGTTAAGATGTATGCCAGATTTCAATTTAGGGCTCAAGGTTCAAGGTTTAGGGTGGTCTGCGGAATCTCAAGACCAGGGTTTAGGGTTTGGGGTTTGGGGTTTAGGGTTTAGGGTTTAGGGGGTGTAGGGCTACTTCTTTGCATCTGGGTCGGCTGCAGTCTAGCAGGGATACTTCGCAGCCGGTAGTGGGGAGGGGAAGACCCTAAACCCTAACCCCTAACCCCTAAACCCTGGTCTTGAGGTATTTGAAGCTGGCGGATGGCCGCGGCTACATCTCATGCAGAGATGCCTGGTTCACCCAGCTCTTGGGCAAGAGATTCCACTCGGTTTAGGGTTTAGGGTTTAGGGTTTGGGGCTTAGGGCCTAGGGTTTAGGGTTTAGGGTTTAGGGATTTGGGGTGCAAGAGTTCAAGGGTATTCAGGGTGTATCAAAAATGGAGCTACAAGGGGCGTGGGGTTTGGGGTTTATGAATTCGGGTGTCTTGGAACCGTTAACCCGGGGGGAATCCGCAACAGTAGCCTCAACTGTCAGCCCCCTAAACCCTCGCCTTCTGTAACCCTAAGCCCTAGACCCTACACCCTAAGCCCACCCTACCCTACAGCCCTGACAAACCCGAACTCCCCAACCTCCTAAACTCTTACTCACCCCCCCTGGCTGAAAATTTTACCCTCCTAAACCCTGAACCCTAAATCCTATATCCTATATCCTGAACCCTAACACCCCGCCCCCCCCAAGAAGCAAGCCCTAAACCCTAAACCCTAAAACCCTAAAACCCTAAACCCTAAACCTAAACCCTAAACCCTAAAACCCTAAAACCCTAAACCCTAAACCCTAAAACCCTAAACCCTCAACCCTAACAAGATCGAAACCCCAGGCTCTTGTATATGAGCCCTGCCTGGGACATGGTCATGGCCGAAGCCTCTGAGGTGACTTTGGCGAAAGAAGGGTTTAGGGTTTAGGGTTTAGGGTTTAGGGTTTAGGGTCCGGGATGTAAATTTGGAGGGCTTCAAAGCGCCGATAGCTCCGGTCCAGGAGGTTTACATACTATATGTGAACAGTTCTATTCGTTAGCATATTGTACTATATCATAAAAGCTTATACAGTAATTTATTATTTTTGCTCTGATATATATATATATATATATCTATGTAAACATTATATATATATACATGCATATATACGTGTGTGTGTGTGTGTGTGCGTATGAAGCCTGAAGGAAAACTACGTTCCGATGTAGGAACGTTCCTCGACCCAGTAGGGGGGGCCTGACGGTCCCTTGCGATCGGGTTTCGGGTTTTGGGGTTTACGGTTTAGGGTTTTGGGTTTAGGGTTTTTTTTTAGTAGTAGTAGTAGTAGTAGTAGTAGTAGTAGTAGTAGTAGTAGTAGTAGTAGTAGTAGTAGTAGTAGTAGTAGTAGTAGTAGTAGTAGTAGTAGTAGTAGTAGTAGGTAGCAGTAGTCGTCGTCGTCGTCGTCGTCGTCGTCGTGGTGGTGGTGGTGGTGGTGGTGGTGGTGGTGGTGGTGGTGGTGGTGGTGGTGGTGGTTTTTGTAGTGTTCGTAGTGTTTGTAATGTTTGTAGTGTTAGCAGTGTTATTAGTAGTGTTAGTCGTGTTAGTAGCGTTAGTAGTGTTAGTCGTGTTAGTAGCGTTAGTAGTGTTAGCAGTGTTAGTAGTGTTAGTAGTGGTAGTAGTGGTAGTAGTGGTGGTAGTGGTGGTAGTGTTAGTAGCAGCAGAGTCTATGGCCAGGCCCTGATGCGGGCTGAAGGCCGGGCGACCCTGTAGATGTGTGCTTAGGTTTCGATTAAGGGTTGAGGGCTTAGGGCTAGGGTTTAGGGCTTCGGGTTTGGGGTTAAGTTTAGGGCTGAGGATTTGGGGTTTAGGGCTCATAGGGTTTGGGGTTTAGGGCTTATAGGGTTTGGGGTTTAGGGCTTGTAGGGTCTCCGGGTTAAGGGCTTATAGAACTTCCAGGGTTTGGGGTTACGCCTAGGGTGGTAGGAACACGTTGCGACTTTCCAAGCTTGACCTTCGGGTGTTTGGGGTGTAGGGTTAGGGATCAGTATGTAGAGTGCGCACCTTCAGCCTTTTTAGGGGTTCGGCTCGTTTCGGGCTTAGGGCTTTACATCTGGAAGTTCGGGGATTTAGGGTGTAGGACGGACAGTTCAACATGTTTGGGATTCTTTAGCCTGGAGTGCTGGTACAACTGCTTCTTCCTGTGAGCAAGCTGATCAAGCAGAATGGCTTTAGGGTTTGCCGAATACTTCGAGGTACCCCAAACCATCACCTCTAACCCCAAGGGTATAAAGCACCTACTCATCTGCAAAGCTGTGCGCGCAGGCATTGGCGACGCCTCGCCGATCGCGGCACGCGAAGGCCTTCTCCTCCACAGAAGTTGTATAGGGCTTGTACCCCAAACAGTTTTGACCTAAACGGTTTAACCGAAGCATTTCTGACTTGGAGCTTGTTATTACTTCTCATTGTTTTTTGTTTTGTTAGGGGGGGAGGAGTATTTTAGTTTTATGGGGGGGGGGGGGGGGGTTGCTACAAGGTCTAAGATTTTCACGAAGGATCCGAATCCTCTCAATTTCTCCAGGACGGAACACTCGACCACGAGAATCTTTCAGGATCTGAGACTCTGAGATACTCCAGACAGAGCCCTCCCGATTCGTCGAGGACTTCTACGAGTTCTGTGGGATCTGGAAAATCCCGATCTGCATCCAAACACAGGTTCCAAGTGAAGCCCCAAAATTCTGACATTGAAGGGGCTTTGGGCCTTGATTTGCCATGGAGTGTTTCGGGGGTCTTCCGGTCCCATGGTTTGTAGGCTTTCAGGGCGGTTTAGGGTTTAGGGTTTAGGGTTTAGGGTTTAGGGTTTAGGGTTTAGGGTTTAGGGCTTGGGGGCCTGCGGCGCCGTGATTTTCAACAAGCACTTGGCCAGGACGTCGAACCTAATTCTGGGACATTGTACCCTAGCCCGTCTGGAGATGTTTGGTCCCTGGAAACCCTAAACCTTACACCACTAAAAACCTAGACTTCTCGACAATGCCGAAGCGCAGACGTGCGTCTTTCAGGTTGGTTGTGTTTCACGTTGCAAGTCGAAATTTGGAGCCCTAAAAGCAAATGACTTTCCCCCCTAAACCCTAAATCCTGAACTTGAGCCCCAAACGAGAAACTCAGAGAACTTTGAACCTCTCTAAAGCCTTTAAGCCCCTAAGCCCAAGCCTAAAAACCCCAAACCCTAAACCCTAAACCCTAAACCCTAAACCCTAAACCCTAAACCCTAAACCCTAAACCCTAAACCCTACACGCTAAGCTCCGATACCCTCGGATTCTCAAAATTCGACTCAAGGCTGGGACGAAGCTCGCCTCAGGCGAGCCGCCGGCCTTCGGGGGTTTGGGGTTTGGGGTTTAGGTTTAGGGTTTAGGGTTTAGGGTTTAGGGTTCAGGGTTTAGGGTTTAGGGTTTAGGAGAAGTGTGAGATTCTAATTAAGTAGCTGCGGGGCGAAGGTAAAGTCTAGGGCCTGTAGGGTTTTCGTGGATGGTGTTGGACTCACCTGGTTCGGCTTCATGGTTAAAGGGTTAGGGGCTTAGGGTTTAGGCTTAGGAGGTCAGGGTTTTCTGTTTTTGGGGAATGAGGGTGTGAGGGTTTCAGGATTTGAGAGTTTCAGGGTTTCAGGGTTTGAGGGTTTAGGATTTGAGGGTTTAGGGCTTGAGGGTTTGAGGTTGAGGGTTTAGTGCCAGTTTCCGGGTCATGCAGACAACCAATTGCCGTTCGTCCTTTCGAGTTGAACTTAAACCCTGGCTTCACTTGGCACTCACCTGATGTCTTGCAGGGTTTAGGGTTAGGGTTTAGGGTTTAGGGTTTAGGGTTTAGGGTTTAGGGTTTAGGGTTTAGGGTTTATGGTTAGTACGAAGTTCGAGAGTGTGTCGCTGAGTGCTGGGAGATGCCGTACACTTCATTGGCTCAAGTCATCTTCTGCTCGAGGGTTTCTTGTTAGAAAGGGTTTGAATGGACATCCCATTGCTTGGGGCGACGCTTCTCGTGGGTCTTTCCTGGGGTGCACAATTCTGGGGGAGCAAGCCTGAGGCGAGGGCAGCAGTTGCACCTTGCGTGTGTCACTGCGAGTGTGCCTCCCCACCAGAATCATCAATTGGCATTAAGCTGTGGATTGCTGTGATTCTCCTGGTAGGCAGCTGGATTTGTTTCTTCGCTGTGTGGCTTGTGGCTAGCCAGAGAGAGCACAACAGCTCTCCCATCGCAAAAGGCAAAGGGAAGCGCGGAGTCCTTGGTGGATCTTTGGCTTTGACTCTTCAGTGATGATTTCGGAAGGGGACATTTGCTTCGTGAACTATGGAGAGGTGCCGCCATGCATTCATGCCAGACTTGTTGGAGCGCACATTCAGAACGACCTGTTTGTGATCATCACGCCTGACTACGATGTGTACGAGGAACAGTTGTCTAACTTAAACCCCGACTTCACCGCCTTCCACTATGGAGGTCCAGGGCTCGGGGCGGCAGTTCCAGCTGGTTTGAATCGAGCGCATGTGTATGCCTTCGGGGCCATGTCAGCGATTGACTACCAACGCTTGATGAACCAGGCAAGGCTCTATGCTGCAGGCATCCGAGCCGGTTTGGGCTTGCCGCCAGTACCAAATGTAGCCCCAGCTGTGCCTGCGCCAGCTCCAGGTGCACCCGCAGTACCTGCCCTTCCTGCTGATCCACTGGTTTGGGTTGCCCTTGAAAGCAGAGGCAACGTTCGGGTCGGATCAGTTGTGGTTCCGGCTGGACAGGGCTTACCCGCTGGAGCCGTGAACTTAGGTGATCGTGCCATCGTCGACGCCGGTGCAGGCCTGCTAGTTGCTCTCAAGCAGGTGCCGCAGTCCCAGGTGGGGACTATGGAGACCAGGGACTTGAGGGTTCTTCCTTTGCGTTTTGATGGGCAAGGGCAACGACGGGCCGACTTCAATGAGGTTGTCAGCCAGATGTCTCAGGACGACATGCCAGGAGGCAAGTTGCAGTTGGACGGGCCCCCTTCCGCCCTGGAGGTGGTCCGTTCCATGGTGCTTCGAGGGCTCACACCTGTCACTGATCATGAACACTGGGTTCGGACGCATGAGTTGGCCAAGGGCGACAGGTCCGTGTACGAGATGGAGGTGATCACCAGGGTCTTGGAGGCATTCATCACTGTCGACCAGATCAACATCCCCAACCTCAAGGGTTGCGAGCTGCTGGTGCGTCGTTGGCAGTTGATCCGGGAGGCTCACCGGCTATCGCCCACCAACCCGGACTACAGTGCAGCTGATGTCATCATGGGTTGGGCTTACCGGAAGGGCGATGGGGTTGAGCCGACCTTGGCTCGCTACGTGGCAAGCGAGCTGCGGGACCAGGCGTCGATCGCCAAGGAGGCGCGCAAGGCGCGTGAAGAGCAGGAGAACAGACGTGGTGGTGGCCGCCGAAACCCGAAAGAAGCGGGGGGAGGCGGCGGTGGCGGAAAGTAAGCGCTGCCAAGGGGGTCGCTGTTTCCTACCTCTCGGTGATCCCCTTTGTTTTCCTCGAGGTGGGGTTTTTAATCCGCGTGCAATTTGCGCGCAGTTTTGGTTTGATTGTGGATGATGGCGCCTTGCTCTGCTGAAGATCGGTGGCGAGATCTTCTCCCGTTGCCGCTTCTTGAGCCCGACAAGCACGAACATAGTCGGAATGAGTTTTTGAAGGAGTCTGCTTGTGTGAGGAGGCACAGGGCGAGGCGAAAGGACAACCTTGACAAGACCAACGAGGTGATCCATGCCTTGAACGCTATGGCGGGGTTCGACGTGCCCTGCACTTTGAAGCCCACTCCAAACCAGGCGCATTCGCAATCGAGTTTACTTCGTAGAGTTGCTCACCTACCCCGTTCCCAGGAGAGAGTGTTCCAGCGTGAGGCCATTCGTGAGCTTCTGCTTGATTGTCCGTCTTCTCCCTATGTGTCGGATGGAGGCGGGACCGGAAGTGTGAGAGCTTATCAGAGAGACCTTGTGTCATTGCCGGAGTCGGGGGCCGAACCTCTTGAGGCCACGGCTTTGATAGATGATCAAGGGCGAGAAATTTTGGAGAGATTTGAGAGCACCATGTTTGTCGGGGAGGACGTGAGCCATGGTTCCCCCATCAAGCCATACATGGACGACACCCTTAGATCCTCACCGAAGGCCTATGCCCAGTTCATCTCCGACATCTTCGAGCGGGGGATGATTGATTTTGACAGGACCGCCACTAGCATCATCACACCATTCTTTGTGAGCAAGAAGAGTGGCAAACTGAGGTTAGTGCTTGACTGCAGGGCTAGCAATCAACAGTTCGATCGCCCACCTGATATCGCGCTCGCAGCAGGGTATACGTTTGCACAACTTGAACTACCTGAAGGGGAATCCCTTTTTGTTGCACAAAGCGATGTCCGCGACTATTTTTATTCCATTGGCTTGCCGCAAGGACTTCGACGATACTTCGCCTTGCCGCCGATCCCAGCATCTGCGCTGCCGGCAGGTGTGGGCGTCATTGCGGAGAGTGAGGGAGAGTTGTGGTACCCTAGGATGAAGGTCGTCCCGATGGGATGGAGTTGGGCCATGTGGATTGCACAGAGAATACACCAGCATCAAGCTTCAGTGGCATTGGCATGCAGCCCCGATCAGGTCCTGGTCGACGGGAGGCCTCCGCCTTCTCTGGAGGCCGGGTCTCCTCTGCTCATTCCCTATGCCGATAACCTCAATGTCTGTGGCACAAACCAAGCTGCAGTCCAGAGTGCAAAGGACAAGGTGGTTGAGCAGTTGCGTAGCGTTGGATTCCGGGTGCATGAAGAAGAAGACGCGTCGTTGCGTGTCCAGGCGCTTGGCTTTGTCATCGATGGTGAAAAGGGTGAGGTGCATCCTATCGCAGCTAGGCGTGACAAGGTCCGGCTTGGGTTACTTTGGTTATCCAAGCGCCCTAAAGTTACCGGCAGAGCCATCGAGCGTATCGTTGGGCACTGTGTTCACTTATTCATGTTGCGCCGGGACCTTCTCTCCATCTTCCGCTCAGTGTATGACTTCAAGATCGCCAATTATCATAAACCGTGTCGTTTATGGCGCACTGCAGCGGAAGAGTGTAGGATTGCAGCTGCTCTCATCTTGACGTGCTATGCTGATCTACGTAAGCCTTGGTGTCCTACCATTACGGCTAGCGATGCTTCTCTCAGTGGCACTGCCGTAGCTGCTCTGACCGTCGAGTCAGGCCAGGTTCAAACGATCGGCGTATGCAGAGAAATGTGGCGTTTCAAGTCAAAAGATCCATTGGCCAAGGCCAGGGATGCGGCTCTGTGTTTGGACCCATTTGTGCACCATGAGACTGTCATGTCACTTGACCCAGCAGAGAGAGATCCATTTCAACTCAACCTTGACTTCCAGCATGTGCCTGTGCAGATCGCGTGCCATCCTGAGTGGAAATTGCAATTTGCTTGCCGCATGCACAAGCCAGAACACATCACGCTTCTTGAGGGGCGGGGGACTGTGCAAGCGGTTCGACACAAGATGAGGGTTGAGGGCAACTATGGCATGAAACATTTGCACCTTGGTGACAATTTGGGCATGGTTCTTGCTTTTGACAGGGGTAGGGCTAAAGCTGTGCCACTGTTAATTTGTTGTCGGCGTGCAACGGCCTTTGCGATTGCGGGCGACTGCGTCTTCACTCACAGATGGATCCCCTCTGAACACAACGCGGCTGATGCCGGCTCGCGCCAGTGGGAACAGGAGAAGCCGTCCGAAACCGCGGCCAAAAGCCGCTCGAAAGAGGCCGTCACAAGCCTCTGCTACCCCAAGTCCAAAAGCTGCTTCAGCAAAGAGCAGGGCCGGGAGCTCTTATGGGGGTGTGCTCGCCGAGTTGAAGAAGTCGGTCCCGCCCAGGGTGCTTGCGGGAGCTCCCACCAAGCGCAGTCTGCGCAAAGCGCTCCAAGGGCCGGACGAAGCCACCCGGGCTTCCAAACGCCAGGCAGTGGTGGCAGCGGGCAAGCCGCGCAACCGGAACGAGGGGCACACCTTCCTAGAGACCGCGGCGGTGGCGCCGAGGACCAGCGAGGAGTACCTCCACAAGTGGAACCTGTTCGAGTCCTTTTGCAAAACCCAGAAGTTGAAGCTGCGAAAAGAGGACGAGGTGGACTACGCCTTGAACCTGTTTCTGAACCAAGCTTTCTTGGAAGGATGGGACATCAGCGAGGGTGTCAAATGCATGGCTGCAGTCACCGACCGCTGGCCCGCCTTGTCAGGTCGAGGACAGCTCCCGCGAACAAGAAGGTCCATGCAAGGATGGCGGAACCTCGACCCAGGTGTCCCACGGCCGCCTCTGGCGTGGCCACTGGTCGCCCTGATCGCCCTGACTGTCCTTCAGGCGGACCAGTTTGTAGCGTGCGTGGCCATCCTCTTCATGTTCGCCACTTACGTGCGGCCGGGAGAGGTCTTCGAGATCCGGCGCCAGGATCTGGTGAAAAGCAGGTCGCTCGGGCAGGTTTGGTCTGTCAATCTCCACCCGTCGGACGACCTCCAGGAGTCGAAGGTGGAGGTAAGCAACGAGACCATCCTGCTGGACAACAAGGAAATCCCGTGGCTCGGAGCAGCGCTCGAGTGCATGACAGCCATATCAGGAGCAGCGTTGTTTCCCACGAACTACACGGAGCTGCTCGACACATGGCATCGTGCTCTCAAACAACTAGGACTGGGGTCCAAGTTTGCAGTGCCTCACCAGTTGAGACACTCTGGGGCGAGTTGGGACCGCTTCAAGAACTACCGCAGTTTGTTGGAGGTCAAACATCGAGGGCGTTGGGCGGCCGACAGCAGCTTAAAGCGGTACGAACAACATGCAATGGTAGCTCAGCAGTTCGAGAAGTTGGCCCCGGCGCTCAAACGACGAGCGCAAGCTGCCCCAGCTACACTGCAAGCAATGGTCCTCGCCAAATGTGGCCTCAAACGGTGAAAGTCAGCAAGCCCTTTCTGGAGCTTTTCTCCGGATGTGCGCACTTGTCACAAGCGTGTGCGAGTCTGGGCATCCCATGTGAGGCATGGGACATTGACTATGGTGAAGCATGCAACGTACTCACGCCTAAGGTTGCAGCTGTGCTGTTGCATCGCATCGCCAAGGGGGAGTTCTCAGCGGTTCATCTTGGCATGCCGTGCATTACGTGGAGCCGCGCTCGTCGCGATGATGGTCGTGGCCCACGCGCGCTTCGAGATGATCATGCCGGCCTATTTGGTCTGCCGTCTTTGATGCCATGGGAGCGAAGGAAGGTTCAAGAGGGCAACCAACTCCTGGAGTTCAGTCTTCAGGTCATAGCGTGTTGTCAAAAGCTCGGCCTGCCATGGTCGCTTGAGAACCCGCTTACCAGTCGTGTTTGGCTGGTCCCAGCTATGCAGCGGTTGCAGACGCAAGGGGCAACCTTTGTCAACACGTGCTACTGCATGTATGGCATGCCGTGGCGCAAGGCCACTGCTTTTCTGTGTGGCAACTTCAATCTCTCGCTCAGAACTTGCGGGGGCAGCTTCCGTTGCTGTGAGCGATCTGGCAAAGCACATGTGCATTTAGTTGGACGAGACAACAGGGGGCGCTGGCTTACCAGACTGGCACAGCCTTACCCCCACGAGCTCTGCAGTCACTACGCACTTCAGCTGCTACTTCGCCTTAAGCATACTCCGAGGTCGGATATGGACCAAGAACATTGAGAAAATGTTTGCTTCGCCATGGGGATCCTCCTTATCAGTGCGCGCTTGCCAGCACGCATCTTGGGGATCCCGCATTGTGTATGTGCTGGGAAGTTCGCTTCGACAAAGGTGCCTTCTTTCCACAGCATCTTCTCAGGCTCACTTCTCAGACCTTGTGCCAAGCCTTGGCATCGAAAAAGGTATGCTGGCATCGGGAAGGTGCACGGGGCCCAGACACATGGTTAGTACGAAGTTCGAGAGTGTGTCGCTGAGTGCTGGGAGATGCCGTACACTTCATATTCTCAGTCATCTTCTGCTCGCCAACACGTCCCCACCACCGACCCATGGGACCAAGAACATTGAGAAAATGTTTGCTTCGCCATGGGGATCCTCCTTATCAGTGCGCGCTTGCCAGCACGCATCTTGGGGATCCCGCATTGTGTATGTGCTGGGAAGTTCGCTTCGACAAAGGTGCCTTCTTTCCACAGCATCTTCTCAGGCTCACTTCTCAGACCTTGTGCCAAGCCTTGGCATCGAAAAAGGTATGCTGGCATCGGGAAGGTGCACGGGGCCCAGACACAGGGTTTAGGGTTTAGGGTTTAGGACTTAGGGTTTAGGCTTTAGGGTTTAGTACTACGGGCTTTATAGGGAAGCCGGGCTGTTTAGTCCTGTGAAGCTCCTCGGGGACACTTTGCCGTGGCCCTGGCCCGTGATGTCTTTCACGCTTGTGCGGCTTGGGGTTTAGGGTTGAGGGTTGAGGGTTCAGGGTTCACGGTTCAGGGTTTAGGTTTAGGGTTTTAGGGTTTGGCCTGTGGAACTACTTGAGCTCTCAGCAGCTTCAGCAGAGAGCCGCCTTGGTTGTGCATGACGGACGCAGGGGAGCCTTGACTGACTTGGCCGACGCTGGCACCCAGGGCAAGCACTCCAAACAACGTCTAAACCCTAAACCCTAAACCCTAAACCCTAAACCCCAAACCCCAAACCCTAAACCCTAAACCCTAAACCGAGACTTTCTGCGGTCTGCTGAAAATTGCCAAAACCCTCCATGCCTGCCATGCTGCTCTGCATGGTTAGGAACGCAACTGGCATCCTTTCATAGTTTTACGTTATTTAGGAAGACCTGGCTTTTGGGTTCAGAATAGAGGCTTCAGGGACCTAGAATTAAGGGGATATGCACTACTGTGTCCAGACTCAGACTCGTAGGTGCGGTTTAGGGGTTCAGGGTTCGGAGCTTGAGGTTTGGGGTTTGGGGGTGTAGCCACCCAAACCCGTCAACCCGAAGCCCGCAGGCGCGAAGCCCCAAACCCCACAAGCCGACACGGAGATCTTGCTTCCCAAACCCAAGCCCCAAAAGTTGGCCTGGCCAGGGTTTAGGGTTTAGGGTTTAGGGTTTAGGGTTGAGGGTTGAGGGTTCAGGGTTCAGGGTTCAGGGTTTAGGGTTTAGGGTTTAGGGTTTAGGGTTTAGAAAGAATCTGCCAGGGCGCTGTGCGCAAGGCATGGCTGGGAGTTCGAGTGGATGAGCGAGGCCTGGTAGGGTTCAGGGCGAAGGGTCTGTTTAGGGTTTAGGGTTTAGGGTTTAGGGTTTAGGGTTTCGGGGGGGATTCCAAGTAAGAGGCCCTTTTGACGCAGCCTCGGCCAGAAGGAAGATACTCTACAAAAAGGGACATCAAAAAGAAGCCCTAAGGTAAAACACTACCCCCCCCCACCCCTCCCCAAATGATCTGTGAAGCCCTAAACTTAACCCTGAACCCCTGCAAACTCTATAAACCCGAATCACCCTCAAAACCCTAATGTCCCCAGTAACCCCAGAACCCCAAACCCTTCACCCTGGACCCCTAAAACCCGAAACCCTAAACCCTAAGCCCTAAACCCTAAACCCCTAACCCTAAACCCTAAACCCTAAACCCCAAACCCCAAACCCCAAACCCCAAACCCCAAGCCCCAAGCCCCAAACCCACCCACCCCAGCTCGAAGGACGGAGAGCGCCGCCGTCGCGGTGCCGAGCGGCAAAGCATGGTCCGGGCTACCCAGCTACCAGGTTTAGGGTTTAGGGTTTAGGGTTTAGGGTTTAGGGTATGGGGTTTAGGGTTTGGGGTTTGGGGTTTGGGGTGCAGGGGACCCGGCACCTACCTTGAACTGCATAGAGGTTGAATGTGAATATACAGGTCATGAATGTGAACGAAGGTGGGTGGCTTAAAGAAGGAGGGGATACATGTTGGGTGAGCTTGTATAGTGGGACTCAAGTTTTTGGGAACTGCGAAGGTGATTTTCTCGGAGCCACCCCCAATTGGCACCCTTGCTTGCCTTCTTCTTCAGAGCATGTCAATGACAAGAAAGGGTTCCTTCTGTTATTCTGCCCTAACACCCTAAAGCGTGCCCTGCAACCCTGCAAACCCTGAAACCTGAAGACCCTGACACCCTGAAGTCTCTAAACCCCTGAAGCCCTGCAGGTGCTAAGACCCTAAAACCCCGAAACCTCTAAGCCCCTAAAACCGTCACACCCGAGAGGTTTGGGAGTCATCAGCTAGCAGGGATAGGGGACGTTAGGTGCACTGTTAAACTACGAGGGAGCTATATATAGTTGGCCAGCCGCAGCGCAACCTCTGACTCTAGGATCCCAAAACTGTAGCAGGCTTAGGAAACCAAGACCCTCTAAACCTCCATGAGCCCTATTCTGTAAGCCCTAGGCACCCTAAATCACAAGCCCTCTGAATCCGAATTTCCCAGTACTCCGACAACCCCCGCACGTCGCAACCTCCGACAGATGCCGCTGCCTGCTGTCACCATGAAAGCAGACACGCATTGCCAGGGACCCCCAGATTTTCCAGCTTTTTTGGGGGGGTTTCAGGGCCCACCGTGCACTTGAGACATCATGGGGGCACTTACAACTTACAACTGGTGTTCGGGTAGCTGTAGCTCTAAGAGGTTATGCTTCATTTGGGTGGGGGGGGGGTGGGGCGGGCTGGAACATTACTTGTACCGGGAACGTTACTTGTACCTTCCCACGAACCTTCAAGTAAAGCCCCGCACCCTGCACGCGAAACCCTCAACCCGAAACCTAAACCCGACTCTCTCCGGGCATTGACCAGTAAATCCAGAACCGCCAGAACCTTGAAACCCTAAACCCCCCAACACCTCCAACATCTATCATCACCCTGGAGATTTTGAGACCTTTTTCGGCCGCGCGGAAAGGTTTTCAGTGGCACCCCTGATACCTGCTACAAGGTTCAGAGTCTAGGGTCTCAAGGGTTTAGGTAGAAAACAACCCCTTTGACAATTTTAGCACACCTGCGGCAAGGTGCCTGCATTAGATTTCTTGCTAGAGTCCCTCAAGTCCCTGAAGCCCCTGAAGTCCCTAAATCCTGAAGTCCTTGAGCCCGAAAGAAACACTCTGCCCTCGGGAAAAAACAAGGCCCAGATGGATTCCAGCCCACGACTACTACGCCGGAGCTGCTCTGGGGTTTAAGGTTTAGGGTTCAGGGTTCAGGGTTCGGGGACCGGAGCCTTTAAGATGAAACCTCCTTGTCTTAGACCCAAGCACCTCTTAACGGGTAGTTCTCTAAATGAGGGTCCCTTTGGGGGGTCCAAAGATGGGTGCTGTACCAGAATAGGGGACCCCAAAAAGGGACCAGAATTTAGAGAACTGCCCGAACGAGTATCGGGTTGGGTGGGTGTGTTTGGGAGTCTTCAAGCGAACTTGGTTGAGTCTTAAGCACACGCCCCAGTGGAGGAGATAGCACCCTAAACATTGAAACATTGAAGTCGTATCCTAAAGCCCTAAACCATCCTAAACCCCTAAACCCGAACATAAACCCTAAACCCCAAAACTCCTAGACCCCTGATCGAAGCTCGAAGTCAAAAGCCGAGCCGTGATTGTTGGGCACGGTCCAGGCGTCCTGTACTCTGCAAATCCCTCCTCCCCGCCCTGCCCCGTGTCAGTGTCAGGGTGACTCTGCTCAAGAAACCGAGTTTCTCTTGCGCAAGGGGCCAGAAACATTTAAGGTGACGAAAGGGGTTCCAGGAACGACAGCGTGCCCCCTGCACACTTGCGTTTTTGGTTTGCGAAACCCTAAACCCTAACCCTAAACCCTAAACCCTAAACCCTAAACCCTAAACCCTAAACCGTGCATGTTTGCTTTCGACTTCGAGTCGAGCTGCCAGATATAGCAGAGGCTAAAAGCTTACTTGGAGGTTCATGGGAACTCAGAAGTAGGGAGAGAAGTAGAAGCATGGGCCCTAACCGAACCCCTAAACCCTAAACCCTAAACCCTAAACCCTAAACTTACAAGTGGCCACGAACCTTCAAGTAGCCTTGCGGGGCTGTAGGGGATTAGATCTCCCTCCAAAGGGGCCCTGAGGATGTGTGTTGTTTTAAACTTCCGGGTTTATTCATATGATTCGTTGTCTCCTTTTCTTCTGTATGCATATACATGCACATAAACAATATATAATACTATACATATATAATACTCTATATACAATACATATAAAACTAGATACAACATATATAACTATATGTGTATATATATATAACCATATATAACCATATATCGCCATGTACAACTATGCAGAACTATATATAACTATTTAGAACTATATATAACTAAATATAACTATAACTATTAACACTATATATAACTAAATATAACTATAACTATTAACACTATATATAACTACATATTAATATATAACTATCTACAACTATCTATAACTATACATAACTATGTATAACTACATTTAACCATATATATATATATATATATAACTATACACACACACACACACAGAGTGCGATCACTTCTAGCAGCCGCAGCCACGGCGCCCAAGAAGAGCCCACGCTGAAGCCGGTTCAGCCATGGGGAGCATGGAGGAAGGGTGGGTTAGGGGAAGGGGGGGGGGGGGGGGGGGTCTAGGGTTTAGGGTTTAGGGTTTAGGGCTTAGGGTTTAGGGTTTAGGGCTTAGGGTTTAGGGTTTAGGGTTTAGGGATTAGGGTTTAGGTGGGGGCTTGGGGGTTTAAGAGCTTTTAGGGTTGAGGCTTTAAGGTTCAAGTTAAGTTGCGGGGCGGATTGGGATTTAGGGTTCAGGGCTTGCATGGGGAGTCTGTCCTGAGTTCTAAGTTCGGGTACTTTTACAAGGTACCCTTCCTACACGAGCCCCTGGATTGAAGAACCCTCAAAAGGGATGCTAAACTAGAACCGACGTTACATAAGTCTTAATGACTGTGGGGCATATGCAGGGCTTAGTGTTTCGAGCTTAGAAGTGCATAAGTTTGAGAGTTTACCCTAATCCCTAACCCTAATTGTTAAACACCGGCCTGAAGGGGCCCGTAGAGCCCGGAAGTTCCCTCAGCCCACAGGGCCTCCGGGGCCCCGTAGCCCGTCAGCACCCGTAGTGTCCGCAAGGGCCTTGTGTGGCAGCTTTCTCTCTTTCCCGGCTGCTAAGAACCTAGTAGTAGAGTAGTAGGTAACCTTTATCCTTTTTTGGGGGTAGTATAATCCCCTCGGAATCCCAAAGGTTAACCGTTATTTCCCCAGGTTACTGGACAACTAAGAGAACCAGTAAGAAGAACCAGTAAGAAGAACAGGGGTCTGGGCGTGGACACGCTGGCACAGGTCTCCCAAATTTTGTTGGAGGATGGGCCCTTGGATTCAGTGTTTGAGATGCCCTCAAGAAGTTTTTTTTTTGTGGTCTTTCCTTTAAGCTGCCCTATTGCATCCTTAAAGGTAGGTGGTCCTGCATTTGTCCTTGACAGCACCCAGAACTCAGAACTCTATCCCCCCTGGTTGACTGGGACCCTAAACCCTAAACCCTGTGAGGAGACCAAGCGAATGCCACCGCGCTGGTTAGTTGCGGCTGCAGACTGGAGCAACATCATTGCAGGCAATTGGGGTTTAGGGTTTAGGGTTTAGGGAAGATGCTCCTCAACCCCCCAGTTAAGATGACTTGCCGGGCGCCCTTCCCAGCAAGCTGCTGGCGAAGTAGCCCTTTACAACAAGATGGGCAAGACGGTCCTGAACCCGTCGCAGGGGGGACTCGTTTAGCAGCTACAGCTCTCTAGGGCGTCTAGCGTGTAGGGTTTGAGTTTAGGGCTTTACCCGTCTTAGCAGCTGCTTTTAATTTATTAAACCCTGCTTCAACAAACAATTTAGAAATTCTCAAAATTATTTTTACTGCTGAACTAAAAAAGTACAGCGCCTGTTAAAACGTTGTTCTCAATGTTTTTGATCTTTTTTCTTTCGTAATAAGTTATTTTTGACTGTACCTTCTATGACATAATCGTATGAAGGAGAAACTGAATATAGAATTCAAGAAATTGAAATTTCGCCAGATCAGACTAATAAGAAACCAATAAAACAATATGAAAAAAGGAGAAAAATTGGATTTATGCCAAAAAAAGCAGAAGAAATTGAAGAAAATTCAGAATATATAATTTTCCATATTGGATGTAAATCGATGCAATCCAAATTTGAGCTTTTTTAAAAAATTTGTAGACAAAAAAACTCAAAGGATATACTCCAATTTACCAATCTACATATATTCATCAAAAAGGTAAAAGCATTTCTCATTGGCCATCATTTGAACTCTCTATAACTTCTTTATTTAGAAAAGAAAAAAGAATCTCAAATTTGAAATTCATGAAATAACCAAATATGGTAAAGAAAAAACATTTGGTATTGTTGATGTGATTTTTGTAAACAATAGAATTCTGTATTTGCTTACTTTTTTCAGCCTTGTAATGGTATATCGATTAAAACTTGGTTTGGGACTGAATTTGATGATGAGTTGTTAAATTCGATACCAGTTTTGAGTTTTTGTCAAAAGTTGATGCAAAGGTTTAGGGTAGAATCCGAAACCCGCCCTCCAACCCCACAACCCGGAAACCATTGCAACCTCGCAGACCTTGCTCAGGTGTAACTTTGGTGGTGCCCTTCGCTATGATGGCTCCTCGGAGAAACCTGACCTAACCCCTACGCCTTGCTCGAAAGCCTGCCTTACACCCTGAAGCCTAAAGCCAAATCCCTACACAGTAAGCCTTGCACTCTTAAACCCTACTTACAAGCAAAACCCTACATGCACCCTAGACCCCATCGAGCATTGAGCCCCCATGAGTCCCGGTCGCCTCAGCCGCAAAGTTTCAGTGGCGGGCCTCAGTCTTACCCATCTGGGTTGAAGGGTTTAGGGTTTAGGGTTTAGGGTTCAGGGTGGATTCTACAGACCCGGAAGTCGGTTGGGTAGCCCACTGCAAGACCTAAAGCCTAAACACCCAGGAATTGGGATGTTCCCCCTCATACTAACAGTCTTTAATTGGGATCATCGTACGCAACCCTAAACCCTAAACCCTAAATCCTAAACCCTAAACCCTAAATCCTAACCCCGCCCGCCAACCCTCTCCTTCTGTGGGTAGGCGGGCGCGTCGAGCGCCAGCGAGACCATGGCAGGCTCTGCTGAGCTGCAGAGCCTGCCAACCGCACCCCTGAGGGTCGCCAGGCGACAGTCGCCTGGCTCAGTGACTGTTTATATATTTTAACCCTAAACCCGACCTTGTGCTGTGACGAGGCCCGCCCCAACCCTGCCTGGGAGGCTCCTGGGAGGCCCCTGTGGGAGGCGCCTGGGAGGCCCCTCTGAAAAGGCCCAGATGCCCTTCGGAGGCTTCTCAGATGGGAGCCTCTGGGAGGGAGGCCCCTGGGAGGCCCCTGCGAGGCCCCTGGGAGGTCCCTGGGAGGCCAAGCTTCTAGACATGAGAGTCACTCACAAGGTTTGTTCATATCAACACCATGACACCCCGACGTCGAGAATAGAAACAATGAGAAGGCCCTCCGGCCGAAGACACCCCCCAACGCAAACGCTGATTTGGCCCTCGCAAGCTTCTAGACCTTTTTTCGCAAAGGGTCTTTCGCCAGGCAACCTCTACGCTCCGGCATAGAGAAGAAAAAACAATGAGAAGGCCCTCCGGCCGAAGACACCCCGCGGGCAAGCGCTGATTTGGTTCTGGTAAGCTTCTAGACATGACTCTCACAAGGCCTGTTCATATCAACACCATGACACCCCGACGTCGAGAATAGAAACAATGAGAAGGCCCTCCGGCCGAAGACACCCCCCAACGCAAACGCTGATTTGGCCCTCGCAAGCTTCTAGACCTTTTTTCGCAAAGGGTCTTTCGCCAGGCAACCTCTACGCTCCGGCATAGAGAAGAAAAAACAATGAGAAGGCCCTCCGGCCGAAGACACCCCGCGGGCAAGCGCTGATTTGGTTCTGGTAAGCTTCTAGACATGACTCTCACAAGGCCTGTTCATATCAACACCATGACACCCCGACGTCGAGAATAGAAACAATGAGAAGGCCCTCCGGCCGAAGACACCCCCCAACGCAAACGCTGATTTGGCTCTCGCAAGCTTCTAGACATGATTTTCGCAAGGCGTATTTATGGCAACAAATCTTTCGCCATGCAGCCTTGATACATCCAGAATGGAACAATGAGAAAGCCCGCCCAATGCAAAACCAAATTTTCTCTTTCGAAAGCTCGACATCTAACATCTTTTCCAAGGCATCTTCTCAGATGTCACCTTGCAAAAAGCAAGGCATCAGGCTCCATGACATAAGGCAGCGTGCTAGATGTTAGTCCGAAGTACAAGCGTTGAGTGCAGAAGTGTTTGGATGTGGGCTGGCTTGGATTTGGCTGGCTCTTTTTTGGCTCGTTTTGAGTAGTGTTTGGGTGGCCTTGGGGTGGGCATGTCTGCACACAACTGCGTACAGCTGACCACTGCTACACCCTAAACCCTAAACCCTTAACCCTTAACCCTTAACCCTTAACCCTTAGCCCTTAGCCCTTAGCCCTTAACCCTAAACCCTAAAACTTAAACCCTAAACCCCAAACCCCAAACCCTAAACCCTAACCCTAAACCCTTCCCTATTAAGGACTGTTCGTATAAGGGGGGCCATCCAACCCATGAGCCCAAATCCTAAATCCTAAACCATAAACCCCAAAGCCGGACTTCCTTGGCAGGGGGAAGCGGTGCCCAACGACTTACTGTTGGTTCGCAGGGAATGAGGGAATTAGGGCCCTCAAATACCCTTGGCAAGGGATTCTCTCTCTCTCTCTCTCTCTCTCTCTCTCTCTCTCTCTCCTTTACGGGAATATATGTGTGTGCGTATTATATATATATATACCCTTCAAGGGATTATATAGGGTACCTCATCCCCCATTCCCTGCCAACCAACAGTAAGACAAATGCGCGAGGTTGGCACGTGCACCTTCAAGTGGTTTGAGATGACCGGCTGCCTCGCGCTGATCTTCCAGGCACCTAGATTCTAAACCCTAACCCTAAACCCTTAACCCTAAACCCTAATTAATCCCTAATCCCTAAACCCTAATCCCTAACCCCTAAACCCCAAACCCTAAACCCTACACCCTAAACCCTAAACCCTAAACCCTGATTCCTAAACCCTAGCCAACCCGAAGGCCAAATCCCCCTAAACCCTCAAGCTCAAACCCTAAACCCTGAACCATTAAACCTTACCCGGCTGCAGCCAACTCCTTTGCGTGACAGCTCTGCAGACAAGCTTCGTAAGCTTTGGCTTGAGGCTCACTTTGCTTTAGGCCTTGACTATCCTACATTCTACTCCGAGAGCCGTTTTTTTTGTTTGTTGTTTTTGATTTTCGGTTTTTGCTTGAGGACTTTCAGGGCTTTTCAGGGCCCAGGCACCAAGCGCGCAGCAATTTCAGCCCAGACGAGTGCAACGTCCATGAACTCCAAAACCCTAAACAAACGACGAGCCCTGACCATGAGACAGGCTGCTGAGATTACACTGTCAGCCTACATATACTTCTCACCTTGCGTCGTTCCTAATTCTACACCCAAAGTAGCCTAACAGTCCCTTCCTTGGGGACCAAATGAACCCTAAAATTGGGGTCCTATAGCCTATACTACTATAATTCCTATTAAGGTATATGAACCATAAACCCTTTTAGGGTTCATTTCGTCCCCAAGGTTAGGAGAGTCCCCTCCCCTCATGAGAGGTGCTGATGGCCGTTGAAGGGCTCTTCTGGGCATTGGGCGGAGCGTGGCTGGGCGATAGATGGGAGGGTTGAGGGTTTAGGGTTTAGGGGTTTAGGGTTTTAGGGGTTTGGGGTTTAGGGTTTAGGGTTTAGTAGAAATATGCAGAAGCCTTCCGATTCGGGGTCGAGCTTCAGAAACAGTGATCCCCCTACTTGAAGGAGGTTGTTTAGTGTTGCTGCTTTGCTCTGGGCGAGATATGGGTGTGGCGTGGCGGTGGCTTTGCATATCAACTTTTTACGGTGCATTAGGTGTTTTCGAGACCCCAACCCTCAACCCTCAACCCTCGACCCAACCCTCAACCCTAAACCCCAAACCCTAAACCCTAAACCCTAAACCCTAAACCCTAAACCCTAAACCCTAAACCCTAAACCCTAAACCCTAAACCCCCAGCCCATGTCAAGGTTTGCGTTTGTTCTGAGGCTCATGGTTTGGACCTGCGTGATACGCAATGATGACGAGCCTCGTCTGACATGTTCGTCGTCATGCAACCCTTGGGGGCTACTTGGAGGTTTTAGGGTTTAGGGTTTAGGGTTGGTTACTTATAGGCAGGGTTAAGGGTTTCGGGTTTGGAGTTGAAGGCTTATGGCTTAGGGTTTAGGGTTCATGGGTATTTATAAAAGTAGAGTTATAGGCAGGGTAACTACATGGTTATACCCGTTTAGGATCCTCAAAACCCTGCTGATGAGTACCCAGTAGGAGCTACTACCCGAAGCTCTTATGAAGGTTTGACGAAGCTTCGGGGTTGAGGGGTTCGGTTTACAAGCCATAAGCTCCTAGGCAGGGTGTATCTGAGTTTCCTCTTTCCATCTGGCTATTTCGCTTAAAATGTTTCCTCTTTGCAACTCCACAAGCTCGAGCACGGTTCATCATGTCTGTGGCTCGCCTCTTTTCCGAGACTTCGATGCGAACCCCCGAATTCTCCGCCATGTCCTTTTTTTCGGGGGCAATAGGGGGGGGAGGTGAGGGGTTGCTGTGAGAGTCACTGTCGCGCACCATGCTTTCATCGCGTCTCAGTCCGAGCCAGATGCAACATCTCGATTCTGGGCAGGCTCAGCCCATCACCATCCCCATGTGCAAGCGCTCCGAGAATACTGTCATATAGTCATTCTTTCGTCACTGGTATGGCTGATGGCTTGTGTGGCTCAGCATGCAATCCCTAAGCCCTAGAGTGGTGGAAAAGTATACTCGTCTTGTCGGACTCTCCGGTCGGCTGAACCCAAACCCTAAACCCTAACGGGCTGAGAGTTTAGGGGCTTAGGTGGGCTGAGGATTTAGAGGCTTAGGGGTTTATGGGTGACCGTTTATAGTGTTTAGATCCTAAGCCCTCAATGCTCTGAGGCCTATGCGGCCGTTGCGCAGCTGAGTCGCAACCAAGAGCCTCGAACCTTGTGGTTACTTGGGTGCGGCTACGAGACGTGCTACATACTGGGCCTTAGGGTGTTTGAGGACGCACCTGTATTCGAAACAGCCCAAATGCCTTGTAACCGTAAGCCCTGAACCCTAAACCGTAAACCTTAAACCCAAAACCCAACGAGTCCAACTTTGTTTTTCCCTAAGCCCCAAGCATGCACGTGGTGGCTCCAGGCCGAACACACGAGATGCCCTTTTTCAGGGTTAGGGTTTGGTGTTTTAGGGTTTAGGTGTAGGGTTAGGGAAGGTCCATGGGCTGTAGACGAGCACAAGTAGCTTTGCAACTACTCTGCCAAAACCCTACCATGTGCCAAGGCCCTGGCCCCTGAACCCAGAACTCTGAATCCTACACCCTGAGTCCTAAGCCCTAAACCCTAAACACTGAGCGGTGGTCTCAAAGCTCCAACCCCTCAACCCTACTTGGAGGTATGGGTTTTGGAATTAGGGCTCATTTGTATAGCTATGTAAAACTGTTGCAGCCGTAGTTCTAAATAGGGAAAGTATGGTTCTGGCCTGTTAGATCCGCCTTCTTTGCGGGTATACTAATATCTATGGCTACCGTGAACCGTTTCGCTCATGCCGCAGCCATTGCGGGTCCAGAGTTCACTAGTTTTCCCTGCCGCTGATGGCGGAATCTGTGATCTTAGTCACAGGCGCGGCTCTGTTGGTTTGGCGTTGTGGCAGAAAGTTGAGTTGAGTTTGTTGGGGCTTCAAAGGGGGCATGCAAAAAACAGTACGAGTCATGTTGACCCTAAAGTTCCTCATCCCTAAGCCCTGCCTGATGGCTCACGGCTGATAGGGTCCGAAGCAGAGTCATAAGAGACCCTTGAGTAACCAAGTAAGGTGATAGCCAGATATAACCCTTGTTGCCATACTTATCCAAGTTATCACTGCCCATGAAGCTCCTGTCCAGTTTACCACAAACCCTAAACCCCAAACTCTAAACCCGAAACCCCAAAGTCTAAACCCTAAACCCCAAACCCGAACCCTAAGCCCTAAACCCTAAACCCTGACTCCTAAATCCTAAATGTTGGGTTAGGGTTTCGTGGTTAGGGTTTAGGGTTTAGGGTGCAGGGTTCTGGGAAGGCATGTGGGTAACCTGCCCTCCCTGCGACCGTGCGGAGGTGGGACTGGCCTCGTGGGCAAGGCCATCCAGAAGGCCCTTATGGGTCAAGGGGGGGGGGGGGGGCTTGTAGGGTTTAGGGTTAGGGTTTAGGTTAGGGCTTAGGGCTTAGGGCTTAGGGTTTGAGGGGCGGAGCGTGGGGGGGGGGGGGGGGGCAGGGGTTGGAATTTTGGCATTTTTTGGGCGGTTTCAGGGTATTCATTACGGCATTCGATTGCAGGACGTGAGTGCCTGCCTTCGTGGGATCTTGGGTGAGTTGGACATGGGGGTTTTCTACTAAGGGACCCTAAAATACAGTCAACCCCAGTAGGATCGCCCCATCATAAGGACCCCAATAGGGTACCCCCCCCCCCCCCCCCAATATCGTAACCCCCCTGCATTTTGTGCAAGGGCTGCGAAGTCAGAAGCTTGTGATCCCCAAAGCACTGCAAACCCAAAGAACTCGAAGTCTAAACCCTCAACCCTAAGCCCTAAGCCCTAAGCCCTAAGCCCTATGCCCTATAAACCCTAAACCCTAAACCGTGGAAGTGTTGCCATGCTGAGATCTCGCCAATGGGGAGGCCACCATGGCGCTCGAGAGCCGACTTAAGATGCAGGACCGAACTCCCAGGCTTCCTGCGTGCGATGCGAAAAAGCCAGAAGACCGCAGCCAAGAGCGGGTGATGATCCAGGACATTGGTGTCGGTTTAGGGTTTAGGGTTTTAGGGTTTTAGGGTTTCAGGGTTTAGGGTTTAGGGTTTAGTCAAAGACTTACAGGCGGCGCTGAACCAGGCGCGCAAGGCGGAAGGGCGTGCGCAGCACTTGGCCACCACACGGGAGACAAAGCAAAGCCAGCGGAAGCAGTTCGAGGAGGATATGAAAGAGGCCGACCGCAAGGAAAAAACCCGACATTGGCGCGACATGGAGCGGTTCACTGTGGATACGACAGAGGCACTCCAGAAGCAAGCGGCTGGTGAGGGTCCATGTCAGCCTGGATGCCTAAAAGCGGACCATCATCTAGAGAAAAATTATACATGTGCACGTTGAACTCAGACGCGTTACCTCTGCAGAACACTTCCTTAGTTCCTAAAGCCCCAAGATCATACGGAACCCATAGCAGCAGCCAGAAGAGGTGATCTCGGAGGATGAGCTAGCCAAGAACGAGAAGTGGGTGCGCACCTCTGAGATTCAGCCGGGTTGAGGTTTGCCTTGCGGGCTGAGGACTCAGGATGTAGGGTTCAGGGCTTAGGGTTTAGGGTTTAGGGTTTTGGGTGCCTGAGGGTCTGATGGTTTTGCAGACTATTCGTTTCAGGATGAGGCTTGGGGCCACGGGGTCTTGACGTTCGGGTTTTCGTGAGGGTTTGCTTTCCTCCAATACCTGGCTTGGTGCTAGCGTTTGTGGTTCACGATGTGAGCCCGCTATTATGGGGGGTGCACCCTCAAGGGCCCCAAAATACTACAATTCCTTTCTCACAGCAATGCCAAAAAGGTGCCCAAAACCCGAAATTCGTTTTTGCTGGCCTGGATGTAACCTTCAGCCCACCAGGGTTTGCAGATTTAGGGTTTTTTTTGGGGGGGGGGGGGGGGGGTTCAAGTTTCGGGCTTCAGGATTGAAGCCCTACCTATATTCCCAAGTATGTAAGAGATTGGCCCATTTTGTGGGTTTGGGCTACGGGGACCCTTAAAAGGGAACCTAACCCTCTTTCGGCTCTCTTAAACAGGGACCTTATTCAGAGGGTCTATATCCCCAAGGGTCCCCGAATCCTATCCCCTACTTGCTTCAATTCGATCTCAACGGGAGAACCCCCCGCAGCCTTAGCTTTAGGCTTAAGTGTGGTCTCCGCTTGGGTCACGCGGGCGTCCGGGAAACTTGTGAAGAATCCGTTGTCCCCTCAGTTGTCAAGACATGCTCCGGGTCCACCGTTTCTTGTCGAGTTTTGTTTGTCACGGGGCCCTGGGCCCCAAACCTTAAAACCCTAAAGCCCCAAACCCCTAAACCCTAACAACCTAAACCTTCAACTCCTACCCCAGCAACCCTAAACCCTAAACCCTAAAGCCGTAACCCTAACGGCCCTAAATAAAGCCCTAAGGAGCCCTAACAACCCTAAAACCCTGGCCCTAACAGCCCTAAGGCACTAACCTTAACATCACGCCCTAAAACCCTAACAGCCCTTTTACAAAGCCCTAAAGCCCCAAGCACATCCCCCTTGCATTAAACGTACCCCTAATTCTCAAAGCGCTTTCCGGAAAATCCTGCCGAAACCCCCCTTTAATGATAGGAGGATCCGAACCCTAAACCCTAAACCCTGAACCCTGAACCCTAAACCCTAAACCCTAAACCCTAAACCCTATAGACCCTAAACCCTATAGACCCTAAACCCTATAGACCCTAAACCCTATAGACCCTAAACCCTATAAACCCTAAACCCTAAACCCTAAACCCTAAACCCTAAACCCTAAACCCTAAACCCTAAACCCTAAACCCTAAACCCTAAACCCAAACCTGAACAACCTTGTAAAGGGCCCCTGACAGGTCTTCCTGTCATCCAAAGACGGCGACCTTGTCGACAGGAAAGCCACAGAGGTGCCAGGGGTTTAGGGTTAGGGTTTAGGGTTTAGGGTTTAGGGTTTAGGGTTTAGGGTTTAGGGTTTAGGGTTTAGGGTTTAGGGTGTAGGGCTTCGGGTTTAGGGTTTAAGATTGGTTTAGGGTTTCGGGTGTCATTAAAGGTTTCTAGGGTGTCGGGTTTAGGTTTTAAGGTTTAGGGTGTTGTTTGGGGTTTAAGGTTTAATGTAAGGCTCAGGGTTTAGGGTAAGAGGTTTTGGGATTAAAGTATTTGGAATTTTGGTTTAGGGTTGGGGGTTCGGAGTCGCAGGGCATGGTTTGAACCGTAAACCCTAACCCCGAAGGGCTTTCAAGGCACCGAGAGCATTTTTACCAACCTACGGGGTTCGCAGTAGGTTACCTTGGGGACGACGTGAACCCTAAAAGGGCTCATGGTTCATATACCTTAATAGGAATTATAGTAGTGTAGGGTATAGGACCCCAAGCTTAGGGTTCATTTGGTCCCCAAGGTAGGGGTTGCCTTCGACAGCCATCGCCACAGGCGATGGTTTGCGGGATTCGCGCGCATGGTTTAGAATTTTGATGCTTAAGAGTGACCCCCCGAAAGCCGTGGCACTGTTAAACCCTAAGCCCCTGCCCCCTGTACTGCCTTAGGAGCTTGATAAGCCCCAGCAAACAAAAATTGGATCCCGTCTTCGTCCTGGGTTACGGGGGTCTTCGGAGGGGGAGTGAATGGCTCTTTCCTAAACCCAAAAACCCTAAACCCTAAACCCTTAACCCAAAACCCTAAACCCTAAACCCTAAACCTAAACCCTCAACCCATTAACAGAAAGGGACCTTCATAGGATCCCACTCTCGGATTCCCTCAGGGTTACCGAAGGAGTCTGGATGTAAAGCAAGCTTTCGCAGATGCTTGCATCCTTCCATACATGGACCATTTCAAGGCAAAACTGCTCTAGGTTACTATAGACTACTATTGGCAAAAAAAACCCCTCCCAAAGACAAGATATTCTGCCTCAGAAGGGCAATATAAGGATGATTATCTTTAGTTTTTGTTTTGGCCGGGGTTCTTAAGCAAATGGTAGTATAACCCTAAACCCTAAACCCTAAACCCTAAACCCTAAACCCTAAACCCTAAACCCTAAACCCTAAAGGTTCTTAGGAACTTACAAATCGTTAGCCAGCCCAGAGTCCATGAAGTAGTACTCTGTAGGGCGGATAAGTTGGCTGGACTCTTCCAAAAAGTGTTCCCGGCTGTCGAGGCGGTAGAGGTTTAGGGTTTAGGGTTTAGGGTTTAGGGTTTAGGGTTTAGGGTTTAGGGATAGCGTTTTGGAAGCAAATTCAGTTCCACCTCACGAAAAACCCCCCAGGCTGTCTTTGAGAAGTACAAGCCTACGCACGTCATCCATTTGGCTGCGCGGGTGGGGGGGCTCTTCCACAACATGGCCAAGAAAGTGGAGCTCCATGTCCTGGAGTTTAGTTTGGGATGTTTCGCTTTATAATATCAGCTCCTTAATTGAGATTCTGGTACCCCCCGATTATTATCCTTATTAAGCACTGTTAGTATAAGGGGGAACATCCCAAAGTTTACTGATTGTTTGTGGTCAAGTAGGCCCTGAGGCATTGACCCTTCAAGGACCTCTTGGTGATGCCATTGTTGGAACAGACATCCGATAGGTAGCTATGCGAACTAAGTCTTGACTAAGGCTGCTGCCACCAGTCAGTGCGACTGTAAGGGAGTATGGTGGCTTTTAAAGTTTTAGCTTGGGATGTTCCCCCTTATAATTATACTAACAGTCCTTACGAGGGATTATATTGTAATGGGGGGTACTACAATCCCTACTAAGGACTGTTAGTATAATTAAGGGGGAACATCACAAGCTTGAGTATTTAATGGGGGGTTTGTGGTCGTGTTTTGGCAAGGAGTAGCTAGCAGCCAGCAGCGGAAGCGGCGGAAGCGGGGCTTAGCCATCAAGCAGCCTTGCCAAGTCGCTGCAGCAAATTTTGCTCGCGTCTAGCCCACAGATTTTCAAACCCTAAGCCCCAAACCGTAAACCCTAAGCAAGAAAAAACAAAAGAGCAATCTGCATCTTCACACAGCCCCCCGCCACGGCAATGCGGGTGGCAGTGGGTGGATATGACCCTGTTATTGCTGTATGCTTAACTGCGGCTTCAGAGGACCCCTCAACCCCAGACCCTAAGTAACAATGAGCCTAACACCCTGAGCCTTCCGCAAAGCTCTGTCCGTCGAAAAAAAGGGAAGTCGGACTAGAAACAAGCAACGAACCACGGTCCCAAACAAGGTTCTACCGGGAAAACACGCTCATGAATGACAACATCATGGAGTGCTGCCGCATACACGGGGTGCCTCAGCCTGTGGCCAGGGTTGGGGTCCGGAAGTTCCCCTAAACCCTGAAGCCCCACCCAAAAGCAGCCAATGTAGTTTGGTGTTGGGTAGTCCCGCATACATACCCGAAACCCTAAACCCTAAACCCTAAACCCTAAACCTCAGAAACAACCTTTGCTAGCGCGCGAGTCTTGAAGCTCGCGGGCCTGAAGGATACAGGCCTTCTACCAAGTCCCTATCCTTTCTATATATATATATCTCTCTCTCTATCCATGTATATATATATATATATCTATATCTATGTATCCATATATATATATATGTACATATCTTTTTGTTTTATGTCTCGCTCTCTGTCTCTCTCTCTCACTCTCTGTGTCTCTCTCTCTCTCTCTTACAAAGTAGCCCTGAACGGATTGCCTGAAATCGGATGCTGGCAAAAACCTGGCGCAGGGTATAGGGCCTAGAAGGTTGAAGGCTTTTTAGGTTTTAGGGTTTAGGGGTTAGGGTAAGTTTAGGGTTTAGGGCTGAAAGGGTTAAGGGCCTGCCGGGTCTAAGGCTTGCAGTGTTTTCGGGCTTCAAGGGTGCTGGGCTGTGTGCCGAGGTCAAGAAGCTCGTCTCCTGCCTGTCCACATGCATCTGGGCAGGGTCTAGGGTTTATAGGGTTTAGGGTTTTGGGGTTTAGTGTTTAGGGTTGAGGCTTGGCCTATACCTCCAGCCTGAATGGCTTAAAGTAGCGCAGCAGATAAACTTTTTGGGTTTTGTGATATATAACAACCGCCTGCAGAGGAATGAAAGGTGAACCTTTTGGGGGTCCATGGGCATGCAAGACGCAGGTTTTACATGAGCATTCAGCGAACTTGTTTAAGTAGGTTACTTTGTTTTGAAATTATGTTTATCTCCTATACCCTAAACCCTAAACATGTAGGTGTGCATTAGTTTTTGCTAGCCTGAAACCCTAAACCCCAAACCCTAAACCCTAAACCCTAATTGGGGTACTTCCGCAGCTAGTCGATACCGTACAGCCTACTTACTAAGCCCCTAGCTCCCGAAGCCTAGAAATGGCCAGCTCCCGGTAAAAGATGGTGATGGACCCTAAGACTTTGGTTTAGGGTTTAGGGTTTAGGGTTTAGGGTTGAGGGTTGAGGGTTGAGGGTTGAGGGTTGAGGGTTTAGGGTTTAGGATTGAGGGTTGAGGGTTGAGGGTTGAGGGTTTGGGGCTTTAGGGCTCTAGGGTGTCCGGTGAAAGAGCTGAAGGTGGTTGACGGTCTTGGGGGCTGGGTGGTTTTGGGGTGTTTGCTCAATTCACTTTTGAGTTTGAAGGTTGGACGTTTAGGTTGGAGGTTTTGGTACACAGTTTGGGGGGCTTTGGGGTTGAGGGCATCCCACTGAGGCATTTTTCCCGACAAGACAACCTATCCGATAGATGCGACGTGGCTGCACCTTAGAAGTGCTTAGGGTTTGGGGTTTAGGGTTTAAGGTTTAGGGTTTAGGGTTTAGGGTTTCAGGCTTTCGTCCGCATGCAAACCAGGCAACAGGAGAAATCCGTTAGCAGCAAGCCTTACTTATTACGGGGGCTGTAATCTTCGTAGCCGAGTGGTATCCTTTTTCCCGTTGTTTTGGTCAAGGTTCCCGTATAAATTAACCAACCCCAAAAAGGGTACCCTTATTGCAAGATGGTTACTGGGCTACCAAGTAATACCTATTACGTAGACATAACATTCTTGTATAAATAAATATATATATATATATATACATATATATATATACATATATATATATACATATATATATATATATATGCACACTCTGCACGCTTTATTCTCGACTTGTTTACCTGTCTCGTATGTATGCGGCCTCTATAGGCACGAGATGACCATCAACATCTTAGATTGGCCCTGGGCTCTAAAGCCTGCCCTCGTCATGCCCCCAAAACCCCTGAAGCCTTAGAAGCCCAAAGAACCTAAAGCCACCCAAGGTCCCTGGGTTTAGGGTTTAGGGTTTAGGGTTTAGGGTTTAGGGTTTAGGGTTTAGGGTTTAGGGTTTAGGGTTTAGGGTTTAGGGTTTAGGGTTTAGGGTCAACCTAAACCCTCAACCCAACTCGGAGGAGACGATGCTGCACAACGGTCCCCCTCACAACTCGAACCTGGGCTACTCCATGGCAAAGCGCCCCACGGCTCCACCCTGCTTTACGGGTTGGGGTTTAGGGTCTAGGGTCTAGGGTCTAGGGTCTAGGGTCTAGGGTCTAGGGTCTAGGGTTTAGGGTTTAGGGTTTAGGGTTCAGGGTTCAGGGTTCAGGGTTAGGGGTGTAGGGTCTAGGGTTTCGGGTTTAGGGTTTAGTGTTTTAGGGTTGAAGGCTTTGTGTTTAGGGTTTTCGGGTTGTTGCTAGACTCCTTGCGAGGTCCGGGTTTAGGGTTTAGGGTTTAGGGTTTAGGGTTTAGTGCTGACGTAGTCCGAGCTTGCTGTTGGAGAGATGGTTTTCGGCCTTGGAGCGTACGATGCCTAAGCACTGACTGATCAAGAATATCCTTGCTAGGCCCCCTCGGCTTGAACGGCGTTTAGGGTTCAGGGTTCAGGGTTTAGGGTTTAGGGTTTTGGGTTTAGGTTTAGGGTTATTCTCAACTCTGACTCCCGAAACCTTGCTAGCCGAAATCGCTAAAATGCCCCAAAGCTCTGAGCGTAAACCCCAATGAACCCGAACCCCCGAACTCTGAACCCTCCCCTAAACACTTTGCTGGAAGTTCTGGGTTCGAGGTTCCGTTTGTTAGGGCACCAAGGGTCAGGGCTTAGCACCCCCAAACCACAAACACATAGCATTAGGAGAGAAGATTCGTTCACCCTGTTCATCCTTTTAATGGGGCTTTTGTATCCACGATCGGCGGTTGGGTTGCAATAAAGTTAAGAGAACATGAGTGAAAAGGCCCTAATATTATAACTAGTGAGTGAATGACACACTTTAAGGGCTTAAGAGAGTGAATGAATGGTCGATCTGGGGGCCGCACTAAATCCCCTATTTCCCCCTTAATTTTACTATCTTATTGCGCTCAAACGCCCATTTAATGGATTGAAATTGTATGTTGGGGTCTTATTGCGAATACATTTAATAGAGTTATATTAGAATTACGAGGATAAAAGCATTTGTTGGGGGCTTATTTAAAATCTCTTCTTGTTGCCCCCTTAATTGTATTCCTTTTCCCTTTATCGAATGATACAAGTGAACACATGAACGCAGTGAAGTGAATAAAGTTTCATTGGTGCACGAATAAAAGATATGAAAGTGCCCCGTAAAGCCCCAAAAACACTTCTTGTAATGGGGCCCGTAGTCCTTCATACTTTGCCCGTTTACAAAGGCTTTTCTTGTTAAAAAGTTTGCCAGAAATGGGGGTTAGCATTTGGAACGGCCTTGAATCAGACCAGTCTGTTCCTTGGGGCCAAGTTCTCGCCTTTTGCTGCTGCAGCTCTCCGCACCACTGGAAGTAGATCTTAAGCTCCAAGCTTTAAACCCAACTCCCTAAGCCTGAATACCCCAAACCCCAGACCCTATAAACCTTTAACCCTCTAAGCCAAGGTATGGTTGACACCATGAACCATTGCTACCATGAACAGTACGGCGCTCCTTGGCTGATGGAGTCTGTTTTTCGGGTCCCGGTGGCGGGCCACGAAGGATATGTCCTGAGAAGACCAAACCCTCAGCAAGTATTTGGTGTGTTCATTTTTTGTCTGTACACGCGCTAGATTCTTGTTTTTGAGTATGTGTCTTTTGTGGAACCTTTTGTGCTGACACTACACGCTCAATGCTAAGTTTGTAGCCTATGTTGTTCCTGAGTAAGCCGATAAAGTTCTACCGTTCGCTGCGCACTTGAAGGAACGCCAGCGGTTCAGGGCATAGTATAGTAGCTTGTGTGCGGGGTTATGTGCCAAAGCGTTGCTAGTTGAGTTCTGTTTCTTGTACGTAGTTTGGGCTCAAATTATTGTAACGGTGAATGGAGAACGACTGCAGGTCCAGTTCACTTCGCTCATCCCGACCAATGTCTACGGCCCTCACGACAACTTCAACATCGACGACGGCCACGTGATCCCAGGCCTCATCCACAAGTGCTGCTTAGCTCTGCAGATCCCTAAACCCCAAACCCCAAACCTTAAACCTTAAACCCTAAAACCTAAACCTTGAACCCTGAACCCTAAACCCAAAACCTAATAGATTCTGAGACCCTCCGCAAACCCTGCGCCTGGTCGCCTGCACCCTAAGGCTACCTGGCAAAGCAGCAGAACAAGGACATGGTCCTTTGGGGTGGCTTGGCCCTGGGAATCAGGGGTAGGGTTGCGTCCCACCCCCTTTCTAACGCGTGTCAGATATTTCCTTCTGAGCATCAGCTCTTCTTAATGTCTGGGCTTGGGGCATGGGACGTAACAAGAGCTGCACGTGTTGGCTCGTTGTTTGCAGTTTGGAGTATGTGCCGTGTTCTGAAGGCGTTGAGCTAGCTTCCTACTTTTTGTGTGGGCGGGGATTGTATTCAAGTTTCAAGGGGAGTATAGACGACTTCAGCCAAGTTGAGCTGAGGTAGCGGCACGCCCATGCGCCAGTTCATCTTCTCCGAGGATCTTGCACGACTGACAGCGCCTTGGTGTAGAGAACCCCTGAAGTCTCACAGGTTAAGGGGTCAGAGGTTTAGGTTTTTAGGTCTTAGAGCCTGGGGTTGAGGCTTCAGAGCTCAAGGTCCACTACGCGAGGGTTCATGGTGATTAGGAAGTCGTGTTTTTTGAGTTTTCATTCAGACATCTATAAACAGTTTTTGAAGGAGGAGCCGCCACACAGCTGTCCTTAGCGAAGCCCCACGAGCTTCAAGAACGTGCCCAGCTCCACAACCTTCAACGATGTAGTCATGCTGCCTTCGAGAAATTCGTAACTATGCCCGTGGGGTAATAAGCTGAACCAGACTTAACCCTATAAGGCCTAAACCTGTCAAGCCCCTAAACCGCGAACCCTTGACCCTTGAGCCCGAAACTCTACACCCTACACCCTTAATCCGAAGACCCCTTGACCGGTGAACCCTACACCCTACACCCTACACCCCCGGAGGCTTCTAAACCCTAAACCCTAAACCCCCTAAACCCCCTAAACCCCCTAAACCCCCTAAACCCCCTAAACCTCCTAAACCCCCTAAACCCCCTAAACCCCTAAACGGGCCCCAGCTGTGAGGTCTGGGTCCTGCGAGAGTACAAGGAGATCGAGCCCATCATCCTCAGTGTGGGTGAAGAGGATGAGGCAAGCTATAAACCCTAAACCCTAAACCCTAAACCCTAAACCCTAAACCCTTGGGTTTGCTGAAGGTTCAAAGTGCCACCCGAATCATTTGTGCGTACGTAGTGGGTTTAGGGTTTTAGGGTTTAGGGTCTAGGGTTTAGGGTTTAGGGCTTAGGGGTATGTAGAACAGGTCTCGATTGCCGACGTGGCGAAGATGATTAAAGAGGCCAGCCAGGGTTTTGGGTTTTGTGTTTGGAGTTTAGGGTTTGGGGTTTAGGGTTTAGGGTTTAGGGTTGAGGGTCTCCAGTGTTTAGGGTTTGGGGGTTAGGGTTAGGGTTTAGTTAGGGTTTAGGGTCTCCAGTGTTTAGGGCTTCAAGTTTAGAGTTTCGGGTCTAGGGGCTATAAACCCACAAGTCCCTGGCTGCCACTGCCTCAGGGACCAGAGCTGCGTGCCGATTGTTGTTTCGAGCATGTCTAGCGCCAAACCCAACAATCGAACCATAACTTCACCCGAAACCCTAAACCCTATAAACCCTGAACCCTAAACCCTGAACCCTAAACCCTAAACCCTAAACCCTAAACCCTAAACCCTAAGCCCTAAGCCCTAAGCCCTAAGCCGTAAGCCCTAGTCTTGAGACCCTTCGCTGAACCCTTATCCCTAAACCCACCCCGGGGTCCCCAAAACCTAAACACGCCTCAGGTTCGGCAAGGATCGGGGGGTAATGTCCCTAGACCTTTTGATAGGGATCAAAGAATTCTCAACTATGACTCAATTGAGGGAGCAGCCCCTAAACTCAAAACCCTAAATGTCAGGTAGAACAGTTCTTAAACGCTCTAGGGTTCTAGGGCTGGAGTGCTGGGGTTGAGGAGGCTTAGGGTTCACTACTCGCCAGTCTGTGAAGCGGACAACCCAAAACGCTCAAAGGGTGATGTTGACCCCAATGGTATGTATGTTCAGGTGCCCTAAACCCTAACCTCTAAACCCTAAACCCTCAACCCTCAACCCTCAACCCTCAACCCTCAACCCTCAACCCTCAACCCTAAACCCTAAACCCTAAACCCTAAACCCTAAACCCTAAACCCTAACTCGAAACCCTAAACCCTAAATGCCAAAGGGTACCGGGGTTCGCTGGCAGGCCATGGAGTTCAAAGGTAACCTCATCCACGACACCACGAAAGCAGACGGCCAGCTACTGGGCCGGCCTTTAGGGTTTAGGGTTTAGGGTTTAGGGTTTGGGGTTTAGGGTTTAGGGTTTAGGGTTTAGGGTTTAGGGTTTAGGGTTTAGGGTTTTAGGGTTCAAGGTTCAGGGCTTAGGGTTCAGGGTTTAGAGTTTGTGGCTGTAAGGATTCGGGCTTAGGGCTTCGGAGTTTAGGTATAGGGACTCGGGCTTGGGGTTTCAGAGTTTCGGTATGGGGACTCGGGCTTGGGGTTTCGGATTTTGGGTATAGGGATTGGGGCTTAGGGTTTCGGGCTTCAGGGCTTAGGGTTCCAGAGTCTTAGGGTTAAGGATCCAAATCCTCCTTGTGGGCTTTGGGAGGTTAATTCAGGTTCAGGGTTCAAGACTCTTTCGCGATAGGGTGCAGGGGCGTATTCCGACTTCAAGCACACAAAGAGAGGCAGTAAGAAGCTTGCGGGAGTCGTTTCCGAGTTCTACTTCGCTGGTTGCTTCAAGAGTGGAGCATCCATCGGGTACTGCTACCTTAGGAATATCCATGCTTGCCTGAATTCAGAATCTCGCCCAGTCGAATCCGTTCTGGCCTTGTCTCTTCTCGCCTTCGCTATCTTTTGACTCCGTGCGCCAGTCCGCCGCCCAAGAGTCCTGAGATGCGAAAGCCAGATGTTTTGCGCGTTTTGCATGACGGTTTGACCTGTCGGCCACAGACAGGACACCAGACTCGGACCTAAAGAAGCCCAGAAGCTCTCCAGCCCTACCTGGAGGTTCATGGGTGCTTCCACCCCAAGAGTCTACTTATATCCTATACTTAGAGGGCTTCCTACGCACAGCTAAGACCCGAACCCCTAAAGCGTTAAGACCCTAAACCCAAAAGCCCTAAAGCCTCTAAGGTTCAAAAAGACAGCTTCCAACACGAAGCTGCGGTCATACAAGCCGGATTACAAGTTCAAGCCGATGCCTGGCTAAACCCAGGGTTTAGGGTTTAGGGTTTAGGGTTTAGGGTTTAGGGTTTAGGGTTTAGGGTTTAGGGTTTAGAATTAAAGTTTAGGCTTGAAGGTTCATGGGTACTTACAGGTAGGGCTATGAGTACCCTAAAAAGGGTTATCGCCACAGTTAGTCTGCTTCTGAGCCGACCTCCAAGTGAGACGCCCCAAACCACCAAACCAGTTGTGTGCGCCTGCCAGTGTACCAGACGGCGAAGGTTTAGCTTTTCCCAATTGGCGTTAGTTATGTATTACCTCAAACGGCACGAAGTTGTTGATTTCAGGGATTAGGGATTTCGGTGACGAAGGACCTGTGAAGTTTCGCTATACCACCCTTTACCCTAAAGCTGAACCACAAACCATACGGATTCTTCTTCAAGGGGTTCTGAATGTGGGCCCAAAAACCTAGGGCTTCGGGTTACCGATTCGGGTTTAGGGTTTAGGGTTTAAGGTATGGTGAGCCAGATAAATAGGGTTTAGAGTCGTATGCTGAGTTTGAAACTGTACCGAAACCCGAATTTGTCGTGTCCGCTGGGCTCTAGCAAGCTAATCTTCAGGAGCTTTCTAGTGGATATTTGGTTTAGGTACCCCATCGAGGTCTTATGAAAGGGTTTCAGGGCTTAGGTATCAGGGTTGTTACCACAGGGAAATCTCCTTAGTAAGTCTCAAGCCCAGACAACAAATCGGGACGAGTGGCCCAAGGGATGCTGTGGTGGTTTAGGCCATGGAGTGTAAAGCCACAAGGGGGTTTAGGGGTCTAGGGTTTAGGGAGTTTGTTGGATCTGTCTATCTGCATATGTGTGTGCGAACATAAATACATACATATATGTATATGTACGTATGTACACAACTTGTATATGTTCAATGGCTTAAGGCCTTGGAGTTGTAGGTGGGGTTGAAGCATGTTCGTCTTTCAGTTAATGGCTATGTCAGAGGATGTAGAGTTTAGGGTGCCGCACAGGATCGCCGAAGGCATCAAAGAAGCCGTCGATTGGTTTGTCGCGAACTACGACTCCGCTCGGAAATGAGAGGCTGGGTCTCACAGGCTGGCATTGCACGTCCAAGCATCAAGAAAAGAAGGGCGCTGCGGGGCAGACAGGGCTTTTGCATCTAGGATGTTTACTTTTTGTCGGGTGGCAGCCACGTAGGAACTCGTGTAAGGGGCTGCTAGGAAAATGTTTACCTACCATCGTGGTAGCCGTGGTAAGTTAGAAGAGAGGTCAACTTAAGTTTACTCAAAATAGGCCCCTAGGCCCTACAAGCCCCTGAGCCCTACAGGCTTAGTTTTTTTGATGTGTCCTTGGCTGAGCACCAGAGTTACCGGCCAAAGTAAGTGTGGATTCATGCCATTCTGTGTCCCTGAAACCCCCAACCCTAGACCTGAAACCCCAAACCTCAAACCCTAAAACACCGACGCAAGTAGCGTGGTCGGTTTGAGGGCATCGAGTTTCGTGTTTCTGAGTGGAGGTTCTCGGATTTATGGTTCACAGGGCTTAGGTATTTAGGGTTAGGGCTTAGGGTTTAGGAGTGTTATTGTCATTTGCAGCGGCTCGGGGCATGTTCCACGCGTGCGCTCAGGCAGACGGTCATTACCTTCGGTGGCATTTTCCTGTTCCTGCGCCTCGGACGATCAGAGAAACTAGTTGCGGACTGTACGGTCTGTATTCCCTGAGCCTTGGAAACCCTAATCAACCCCCAAGGTCTATTCATTCGCCAACCCCTACACCCTGAACCCTTTGATCCCAAAACCCAAAACCCTAAACCCTTGCTGAGTTTGGACTTGGGCCCACTTCGGACGGGTCCGCTGCGCAACCCTAGCCTGGAAGCCTGAAACCCTAAGGTCCTAAGCCAGGGTTTAGGGTTTATGGCTCTTGGGGTTTAGGGTTTACGGTTTAGGGTTAGGTTTAGGGTTTAGGGTTTAGAGGTAGGGTCAGGCCTTGCAGGATTTCGGGATTTTTAGGGTTCTGAGAACCCTGCCAGCAGCTTTGATCTATAGAGTCTAGGCGTCTATCATGGGTTCCCCTACTACCCCTGTCTATACTAACCCCCCCTGGGTTCCCCCTTAAATAACCGGCTTAATTATCTCAATTATAGGGGGGAACCAGGGGGGCTATTATGGAGGGGGGTAGTAGGCAATCCAGGAGTCTGGGGACTATTTGTTAGCCCCAAAGCTCTTCAAATGACTGGGTCGCAGTATGACATCTGAGTTTTAAACAAGAATTGAACCTGAGATTCCCCTCTAAGGAAGAGTGGGTGATAGGGAGAGGTGGGTGGACCGAGAGGGGCTTAGTGGCTAAATCGTGAAGGGGATGAGCTGGTTCCCACAACACCACCGATACTTGTGAATGTGTGAGCTTCCCTTCCTGGCTTTCCTTGGACACAAGACACCCGTCTGTGCACCCCAAAAGTACGGGGGTTGGGTATTTAGGACCCAAGGGTTGAACAGAGGAATGGCCTGTTCAACGGCACGCCGGGGAAAGCCATCAGCTTCGGTTACGTGCTCGATCCCCGTGGGCGTGCCCCTTGGCAGGAGCCCGCGGCTTCTGCGGGGATTTTGGAACTAGGCTTTCTTACTACTATTTTGATTATGAGTATATATATATATACATATATATATATATATCAAAATGTTATATATTTATATATATATATATATATGTATATTCAATATGTGTATATGTATACGTCTATCGTAGAAGAGAGAAAGAGAGATGTACGTGTATGTATATATATATATAGATATAGATATATGTAGTGTGAATCATCGCATGCGGAATGTGCGGACGTTTCCACTTTACATCCGCATATCTCCGCAAGCCCGGGGGTGCTGAAGCCGTCGACCTTCAACCACAAGACCCTCCTACCCCATCCGTAAACCCTTAGAAGCCCTAAAGCCCTATGAGCCTTGACTTTGAGCTCAGAACCAAAAACCCCAATAAGCCCTAAACCCTATGAGCCTTGAATCTCAGCTCAGAACCAAAAAACCCCACAGCACGGCATGTCATAGTCATGAGAGTGAAGGTTGGTGAGCCTGTTCCGAAGCGAGCATACTTTTCGTGGGGCGCAGGGTTGGGGCTCGAGGGTCTAGGGTTTTGCAGGCTTCAGCCGCACTGATCCGGGTTTAGGGTTTAGGGCGTTTCGGGTTTAGGGCTTAGGGTTTGGGGTTTATTGCCTTTTTTGGATGCTCTGTTCATCATGGTACGTGTTCTGCTATTGATGTAGGTTTCCACATTCTTCGGATTAGTACCCCACTCCCCCCCCCCCCCCCGAGGGACCTAAATCCGGAAGATATTTGCCCCACATCATCCTGGAGAAGCTTCTTTTTGTGTATTTACACTCTATATATATATATTATATATATATATATATATTTTTTTTTTTTTTGGGGGGGGGGGGGGTTGGGTGGGTGGGGGGCAGGTTCCGGTCGAAGTTGGTTGGGAGGCGGGGGCTTGAGAGCTTGCAGGGTGGTCGCCAAGATCTCGGCCTGTGGCCTTTTGTGTATCTGAAACTCTCGCGGCCCCTACCACCATGGAAATCACAGCATTCAGGTGCAGTTCACGGACTCATCGCCCTACTACGGTGCCTCGGACTTACGTGGCAGCTTTGAGGCCCCGCGTTAAGGTTTTAGGGTTTAGGGTTCAGGGTTTTGGGGTTTAGGGTGTTGGTTCTAGGTGCTCAGGTGCATGAACGTGCCATGCCGCTCTTAGTCTCCAGGTCCTTCGAAGGGCCCTAAATGGGTCGAAACCATAGTTGCCCTACTTAAAGCCATACTTATAAGTACCGATTAACTTAAACCCTAAACCCTGAACCCTGAACCCTGAACCCTGAACCCTGAACCCTGAACCCTGAACCCTAAACCCTAACCCTACACCCTAAAAACCTACCTGTAAGCAACCATGCACCTCCAATTACGCCCCAAATCGGCTTCTGGGTTTGCTTCCTGTCCCTGCCCATGCGGCCCTAGAGAAACCCTAAACCCTATAAACCCTATAAACCCTATAAACCCTATAAACCCTATAAACCCTATAAACCCTATAAACCCTATAAACCCTATAAACCCTATAAACCCTATAAACCCTAAACCAGGCACCGCGTGCTTCATGACTGGGACCGCCATGGGACTAAGGGGCGCTTGGCTGCTCGGCAGACTGGAGAGTTATAAGGGTTATAGGGCTTAGGGTTATAGGGTTTAGGGTTTAGTTTAGGGTTACGGTTTCCAAGGCGTTCAGCATTAGGGCTTGTGATTTCAGGGAGCAAGGTAGGTCATGCAGCATAGACTTGGGCTGGGGAAGATCGCGTGTAAGCCCTAAGCGCGTTCTGAGCAGCTTCATGTACTAAGAATGTTTTTTTCTCTGGTGCGTTAGAGGAAACACGTTCAGGACCGGCAGAAAGGAATTATCCCTAGTAGCTAGACTAGGGGGGGCAGAGGTAGATTTACTTCGAGCCATGCTTGGCTATTTTCGGACCCATGAACCTTCAATCAGCAAGGCTCTTAAACTCCAAGCACCTGCAACTCCCGAGCCTTGAACGTGCGAGGCATCTTCCGAAAGGGAAGTTCTTGAGCACGTACTGGGCAGCCTTCTGCTCCTTGGCAAGGCAACATTAGCCAGGGAACGCCCCCTTGAGGAAAGCTCCGGAACTCGCCAGAGGATCCCGTTTTCTCAGATGTTGTTGAGGGAACTAAAAGCCTAAACCTTAAATACCCCAAAATGCGAGACTGAAGGGGAGACAGAGCAAGAAGGCAGAGACCCAGAGACAGAACCTCACGGAGAGGGCGGCAGATCGGCCAGAAGAGACAAAGCGAAAGAGAGACGGGAAGATGGAACTATGAACCGAAGGCAAGTAGCACATAAGCCGCCACATTCAGAGAGAAGGAGGGACAGGGGTTTAGGGTTTAGGGTAGAGAGAGAGAGAGATAGAGAGAGAGAGAGAGAGTGTGACAGCGACACAGAGCCGAATCTTGCGGGCTTCGGCACCCTGAGCCCTAAACCTTGGACCCCGAGTTTAGGGTTTAGGGGTTGGGGCTTAGGGTTTATAAACCCCAGACAAACGCCCCCCCCCCCCCCCCCCAAAAAAAAAAAAAAAAAACCTAAACCCTAAACCCTAAACCCTAAACACTAAACCCTGAAACCGTGAGAAAAGGCATGTGGTTCGGCTCGTGGAACCTGGGCCTGGCGCTCTGGCTGCCCATGATCCTTGACGGCCTGGCCACGTACACCAGCTCCTCGGTAAGGGCCCTATTTCCCCTTTTTTTGGTTTAGGGTTTAGGGTTTAGGGTTTAGGGTTTAGGGTTTAGGGTTTAGGGTTTAGGGTTTAGGGTTTAGGGTTTAGGTTCCCTTATAAACCCCTTTGACCCAAAAAGGGGGCGCCCTTTTTATTCCTAGGTCACTCTTGGGTCCAGGTGCCTAAGGGTTGCTACATGGTCCCTTAGTATGGGCCCGCAAAAGTGTGCCCCTGGTATACCCTGTACATATGAAGGGCCCATACATCAGAACGAGGTTAGGGACCATATTGAGGGCCCATGATTCACAGCGCGGGTTTAAGGGGACATACCTGGTGCTTCAGTGGTACCCTTGTCCCCCTTTTTGACTTCAAGGTGCCCTTCATAAAGTAGCAACCTCCAAAACCCTAACGCCCCAAACCTCAAACCCCAAACCAAACCCGAACACGTTCCGAGGGCCTGCCTTCATGGGGCCCATGGTGCGGCTTGTTGATCAGGGTGAGGGTTCTTATACTCTAGGCCCTTGAGCAGCTTCTAGCAGGCGGGTTTAGGGCTTCAGATGTAAATAGGAGTCTCCGCCATACAGTGTTCTCAGAAGGCACCCGCGCATCCTAAAACCCTAAGCCCTAAATCCTAAACTCTAAGCCCAAAACCCTAAACCCTAAACCCTAAACCCCTATCCCCAAACCCTATAAAGTGGCCGCCTGACGAAAAGGCTTCAAGAATCCAGACGTGCAGATGTACTCCCAGAGCTTCGGCAGCTTAGGGCTTAGGGCTTAAGGCTTAGGGCTTAGGGCTTAGGGCTTA